CAGGTTTCTGCTGCCATGAAACCTGGACACAGCATTCAAAACCCGAACTGTTCGGGTGAATCCTGGACAGGTGGCTACCCTAATGCAAGAGCTTGCTGAGATGACATTCTGAAGTGTAATAACAGCAATGCTATGATGTTAAGGTGCCCATACACCTTACGAATATCGGCCGATTGCGTTTTCGTCCGATATTCGTAAAGTTCATGTGGTGTCTACAACCGCAAATACTGTACAATTGACGACGTTCGTCTTTCCAGCATGCTAGAAAACTTTGGTCGATCGTACGTTGGTTGGTGGCGTTTCCGCACGTCAAAATTCGTACGATTAACACAATTTGTCCAGGTGATTTCTGATAAAGACCACTAATTCAACTGTGCCATGGTCGGGGCAGGATGGGGCCGCCGTACGAAAATTGTACGACAGTTCGATGATTTTCGTCCGATGATTGCAAGGTGTATGGACACCTTTAGTTGTCATTTATAAGATTCTTGGTGTCATTTATGCATATTTCTGTGGCAAATGAAACTCTTGATGCCATGATGATGAAAACATTATAGTGACTGTCACCAGGATTTATTATCTTTTAAAGAAATGCACAATGCTAATGAAAATTTAAAGTACTTACCCGTCCATCAGGTGGTGATTGATGATCTTAAGCCCTCATTCACACGGGTAACGGCCGGCCCGTACAGATCCGTGGGCTGCTGTCCTGTGACAGTCTCATTGTCACAGGTCGGCTAGAACTATGAGGTGAGTGAAAAGCACTCACCTCATAGTTCTCCTTTAATGATTTGTATTTGGATTTTTTTTAAACATTGGCACACCTTGCAATGCAGGACTGGGGATGAGCTTATTATTAAGCAATAGAATTACAAGGGCACATAACAGCAAACATAATTTAATTGCACACATAACGTTTTCTCAAAAAAAAAAAAAGTTTAAGGAGATTAAACTAGGAGATTATAATAAGGATTATCACTTAGGCCCCATTCACAGTGCGCGATACGCAAATCGCGCGTTTGTCGCGCGATTTGCATTTTGCGCGATATCGCGCAAATGCTTGCATTGAGCAAGCTAGAATCGCGGCAAAATCCGCTCCAAAAAGGGTCCTGCTGTAGCGACACACGACCCGCGACAGCAGGACCCTTTGCCCTATTGCCAAGCATTGGAGAGCGATATCGCGCAGTAAATAGCCGCGATATCGCGGGAATTACCGCGCGATAAATCGCTCAGTGTGAACGGGGCCTAATGGATACATGGCTATCATACTAGACACAGAGGACAATTAATCTAATGAATAACATTATGAATGTAAGAATGATTAATAGGTGATAATCAAATAGTGAACTATAGTGAACACATAAGGAGGGATAAGCATATAGAGATGAACACTGGACACATAAAGCTATAAGGATAAGGGGATGGTTGTAAAGTTTCTTATATACATATATATAGGTATGAAAGATAAGGGTTATTAAAAGGGAAAAACGTAGAGGTAAACTTTAATCACGGTTTGTTATAAATACAAAGTTCCTGCTGGACTTTTTTATGCATCTGTGGCTCCGCTACTTGAACTCTCTGGGGTGACTGGAACTGGTCCTGTCCTCCTGGAATTGGGTCCCTACATGACCTCTGATCCCTGGGTGAGTGGCTGCATAATATAACTAGAATACGAAGGAAATATGTAGAACTAACTATAAATGGAAAAAGAAATATACAGAAATGCAAATTATGAGGGACTGACTAATTATGGAATTATTTATTAAGGACGTATTAATATCTTGATAATATAAATGGCTGTACAATATAAGTATAACAAGAAAGAAATATGCATAGCTAATTACAAATGGAAATGAAAGTAAAGTACGAGGTATTAATTAAGTTTGAAATTATTTACAAATGATGTATGAATACTTTGATAAATAATATGTTACATGTCTATAAATAGATTTTTTTGCCGAGAATAGAACCCCCTGAAGAAGCTCATATGTGAAACGCGTAGGGGATCAATGGAGCGGTACAACTATGTATATGTAATATAATGATAGATTAATGATTGACATTAGGAAATGGACGATGAATTATGTATGATCTATATGCAAGAAATTTAGGGATTCGATAATCATGTATATTCAATAACTTTGATTTTAATTTTCATCATGGGAAAATAATTTTTATGAATTGAATAAATGTATACAATTTTCTAATCTTCCGAGTCCTCTTTTTAAAAAAACCCACCACAACTTTCAGGGCTTTTCCCCATAGTTCTCCTTAGGGTAAGGGGAGGACACAAACTAGCGTTCTCCTGGCCCCCTAAGCTCAGTATACTGAGACGCCGAAGTGGATCCTGACATCGATGTCGAGATCCGCCCAGCTGCGTGAGTGACAGCTGGCTCTGCCTATCTAGAGGCAGAGCCAGCTGGACCCGCCCCCCTCCCCCTGTCCGTCCCGCCAGTCAGCGCTGGTGGATCGGAGCAGGGAGGGGGGAATCCAGCCCCTCCTCTGTCACGGCAGAGAGCCGTGACAGGATCGAAAAGTAAGCGAAAACCGGTATGTGTTCGCTCACTTCCCGATCTACTGAGCCGACCTGTGACAGTCTCATTGTCACAGGTCGGCTAGAACTATTAGGTGAGTAAAAAGCACTCACCTCATAGTTCTCCTTTAATGTATATGTACTTGACTAGATTGGGGGTGAGGTCTCAGATCAGGTGTGAACCATGCCCATAGGAAATAATGGGATTTCGGTGTTTGAGCGTTTTGCAGAGCGTTCAAACGCGCTACAAAATGCCCAGGTGTGAACCGGGCCTCAAACAGAATCTATAGTACTTTCTAAATGTTTTTTTTTTAATTATGTTTGGGATATTTGTATTTTTAAATATGAAATATTGAATATAAATATATTCATATGAATTATTTTTGCAGCCAGTAGGTGGCACTCTGTCATTTATAAATGTTTAAAACAAATTTAAAAACAAAACTGATCCAAAACTCAAATACTTCCTTTACACAACCCTGAAAATGAGCCTTTAACACCTGACCTATCCTAACATATAACTGTGGTTGTAACTCTTTAATTGAACCTCCTATTATCTAACCAACTCTGAAAACTAACCCTTAAAACGAACCCTGATCCTAACACTTAACCGTATCTATATCCCATATTTATTTATTTTTAAATCCAAGTTTATTAACCAAAGATGCAAACTGATACAAATATTGCATGAATAGGCCTGCGCGCAGGCAGCCAACTGTAATACATTAATAAGCAAGTATACTTAGTATCGCAAGTAACAAAACCTTAAACGAGACACTAGTGTATAAGGCACAGTGGCACAGTGAATCATCATCGATGTCGAGATCCGCCCAGCTGCGTGAGTGACAGCTGGCTCTGCCTATCTAGAGGCAGAGCCAGCTGTACCCGCCCCCCTCCCCCTGTCCGTTCCGCCAGTCAGCGCTGGTGGATCGGAGCAGGGAGGGGGGAATCCAGCCCCTCCTCTGTCACGGCAGAGAGCCGTGACAGGATCGAAAAGTAAGCGAAAACCGGTATGTGTTCGCTCACTTCCCGATCTACTGAGCCGACCTGTGACAGTCTCATTGTCACAGGTCGGCTAGAACTATTAGGTGAGTAAAAAGCACTCACCTCATAGTTCTCCTTTAATGTATATGTACTTGACTAGATTGGGGGTGAGGTCTCAGATCAGGTGTGAACCATGCCCATAGGAAATAATGGGATTTCGGTGTTTGAGCGTTTTGCAGAGCGTTCAAACGCGCTACAAAATGCCCAGGTGTGAACCGGGCCTCAAACAGAATCTATAGTACTTTCTAAATGTTTTTTTTTTAATTATGTTTGGGATATTTGTATTTTTAAATATGAAATATTGAATATAAATATATTCATATGAATTATTTTTGCAGCCAGTAGGTGGCACTCTGTCATTTATAAATGTTTAAAACAAATTTAAAAACAAAACTGATCCAAAACTCAAATACTTCCTTTACACAACCCTGAAAATGAGCCTTTAACACCTGACCTATCCTAACATATAACTGTGGTTGTAACTCTTTAATTGAACCTCCTATTATCTAACCAACTCTGAAAACTAACCCTTAAAACGAACCCTGATCCTAACACTTAACCGTATCTATATCCCATATTTATTTATTTTTAAATCCAAGTTTATTAACCAAAGATGCAAACTGATACAAATATTGCATGAATAGGCCTGCGCGCAGGCAGCCAACTGTAATACATTAATAAGCAAGTATACTTAGTATCGCAAGTAACAAAACCTTAAACGAGACACTAGTGTATAAGGCACAGTGGCACAGTGAATCAATACAATTCTAGCTACGAGATTAACATTCTTGTCACTGGTCAAGTAGCGTAATTTATCCATCCCTGCAAACGTTCTAGTATCAATTCAGCTCATAGTGGCAACCTCGCGGGGGGAGCAGCCCCCCACCGTCACTGCAGGCAACACATATACACGAGGGAGGTCATGACTTCCCGCGAGCCCTACGCACGGAAGCCATATCTCCCGAGCAATCTTTGATAGTGCAATAAGATGGCTGTATGGCAGTCTACTTATGAGGTAGAAGAGGAGAACAGACATTAAAAGTAAAGGCAGGTGTGAAAAAAGAGAAGGAGGAAAAAGGAAGCAGAGGGAGGGAGGGTCTCCTGCCTTCCCCAGTGACCCCCCCAGTGGAACACTGCAATGAACTGGCATATTTCATACAGGATGCAAAAAAGAACTACACATGTCTTAGGGCAAGTGCGTCCCAATGAAGGAATAGTACTCATGAGCCCCCCCCAGGGGTCACAATCCGAAGATAAGCATCAGTAACAGTGTAATGCGACCATGCTCTCCAGGTGTTTCGGAATTTCTCCTCAGTGTTGTGAACAGTGGCCGTTAGATCCTCCATCTGGTGAATCTCATTGACCTTTGACAGCCAAAGGCGCAGCGATGGAGCTTGGGTCGATCACCAGAGGGCCGGGATACATGCTTTGGCAGCGTTTAACAAGCGTATCGATAGCGACGCCTTGTAATTACGCCTCGATAAACTGGTCATGTGCAGGAGGAACACCTCCGGGGTCAGATCCAATTCTGGTGTCACCAATTGGTTGATAATATCCCTCACCTCAGCCCAAAACCCAATGAGGGGCAGCTCCAGAAGATGTGCAACATCGTGCCCACTGCGGAACCGCATCTCCAGCACACCGCTGGAATATTGGGGTTCATCTTGTTCAGGACGTATGGAACCCTGTACCATCGAGACAAGATTTTGTATCCCTGTTCTTGAAATCTGTTGGCTATCGAGCATTTAAGTGAGAAATATATCATCTTGTCTCTTTGCTGAGGGGTAAAGTCAGTACTCAAGTCGGCTTCCCATCTCTGTAGGAAATGCGGAGCAAAATCTGGTGGGGGGGCGACTAACAACTTGTAAGTCTGGGACAGTGCATGTCTGACCGGCTCCCCCCTCCCACACATGTCCTCAAAGGGAGTCAGCGACCTATCTATCTGCAGTGAGGCCGGGATTGACAGCAAGAAGTGCCGGAGTTGGTAGGTAGTCCACACATCAAGGGGTGTCTCTAGCAAAGCGCGCAATGCCGGTATCCGGTATCCAATGGCCCCCCGCCCTAAAGTCTCGTATTCTAAATTTATTAAGACCTATGAGTGTGCGTAAGCGTCGGTTTTCCATACCCACTGGGAAGTCCAGGTCTCCTATCACTGGAGTGAGCGGGGAAGGGAACGGGGAAATGGAGGAGGAGCGAAACAAAGCCCTCGCAATCCTGAGCGTGGCTCCGACCGCGGGATGTCGGGTGCATCATGGAGGCATGGGGCCTGAGAGCCACGGAAGGCCTGGTAGTGGGATCGGAGAGACCTTCAGGTCCATGCGCACCCACTGTTTGTGAGTGGAGTAGCAACACCAGTCCACCACTCTATTAAGATGTACTGCTTTATAGTAGAGATTAACGTCGGGGAGCCCAATCCCACCTGCTAATTTAGGCATAGTAAGGAGGCGTCGGCTAATCCTGGGAACCCCATTCGCCCAAATATAAAGCGAGAACACTCTGCGCAGGCGAGAGAAGAAGGACGGTGGTAAACGAATGGGCAGCGCTTGCATCAAGAATAGTATTCTGTGAAGTATGGTCATTTTAAGAGCCTTGCAGCGTCCAAACCATGTCACTGTTAGTGCCTGCCTGCAAGTGACCCCCCCGCACCCCCGGTTGTTACGCCACTGCTGCCACGCTCTTAAGTCTTGTTTAATCCGTGATAAGAGGGGGGCAAAGTTGGCTTCGTATAACGATTTCAAGTCCGCCGTGATACGGGTGCCCAGGTACGGCAATGAATGAGCCTCCCATTTGAAGGGGAATGCGGCCCAAAGTGCGTCCTGTTCTACTTGAGGCAACGTGATGTTCAGCGCCGCCGATTTGGACCAGTTGATCGCCAGTTTGGATAGAGAACCGTAACATTTGAACTCCCTCATGAGTTCTGGTAGGGAGACCTGTGGCTGCGTGATAAAGAATAAGAGGTCATCCGCGTATGCGGAGACCTTGTGTTCCATGGAGTGCGACCGGAAACCTGAGATCCCCCCATTCCTCCTGATATGTCCCAAAAAGGGTTCTAGAGCAAGGATACATCAGTGGGGAAAGGGGGCATCCCTGTCGCGTGCCGTTCGTGAGCGGAAAGTAGGAGGATCTAGCCTCATTTACTTTGATAGCAGCTGTGGGGTGGGAATAGAGCGCGGATATCCATGAAAACATATGCGGACCGAGGCCGATATGGCGGAGAGTGGACCGCAAAAATAGCCAGTCCACCCTGTCAAACGCCTTCTCAGCGTCGGTCGAAAGAACCATCAACGGAGAGGATGTTGAGCACGCCTCATGGATGACGTTGATGACCCGCGTAGTGCTGTCCCTGGCCTCCCTGGATGAAACAAATCCCACTTGGTCGTCTTGCACTAGATTTTGAATAAATGGCGAGAGTCTGGTGGCTAAAATCTTCGCAAAGAGTTTTAGGTCCACATTTAGTAAGGCTATGGGGCGGTAGCTACCACATTGCGCTGGGTCCTTCCCTTCTTTAGGGATCACCGCGACATGCGCCCTCAGGGAATCTACTGGGAAGGGACGGTGCTGAAGAATGGAATTGAAGGCCGCCACGAAATGAGGGGACAGCTGCTCTAGGAACTTCCGATAATACGGGATCGTGAACCCGTGTGGGCCAGGCGCCTTACCGGATTTGGATTGCTTTAGGGCAGCTGCTAGCTCCTCAGCCGAAATAGGGAGGTCCAAGCTCTCTCTGTCTGCCCGAGAGAGCGAAGGGAGACCGGAGCTACTAAGGTACCGGTCTATCTCCGCCACCCGGGCAGTTGCCTCCCGAATGTTGGGGTCCGGTTCTAAGTTGTAGAGCTTACGGTAGAAGTCACAGAACTCCCCTGCCATGTCCTGTGATAAAGTGAGGCGGGAGCCCCGACTGGATATCAGATGCGATATGAAGGTTTTACATCTTGGGCCCCTTAAGACCCCGGCTAAGTACCTACTCGGTTTGTTATCGTATTCGTAAAAGTACCTCCGTCCCCACATAGCCCGTCTATTTACGTGAACAAACAGGAGAGCAATAAGCTCCTCACGGACCCACACAAGTTCCCTGTAGGCCGCCACTGCCAGCGACTTTTTGTGAAGCGTCCCCAGTTTGCGCAGGCGACACAGCAAAGTCTCAAGTTGGGCATTCGGCTCCCTCTTCCTTCTCGCTCCGTGCTTAATCAGCATACCCCGCAAGACACACTTGTGTGCCTCCCACACAGTCAGGGGGTCAGCTTGGTCAGTGGCATTCACTCTGAAGTAAGTCGCCAGGGAAGTCGCCAGGTCCGCGTGTATGTCAGGATCTTGTAGTAAGGACTCATTGAGCCTCCAGGAGGAACACCTCGAGGAAGGAGCAAGGAGGTCCACATACAACCGAATCGGAGCGTGGTCGGAGAGTACCGGGGAGTCTATAGAGGCCGATATGACTCTATTGAGTTCCCCATGTCGTATGAAAAAATATTCTATTCTTGAGTAGGATTGGTGGACTGTAGAGTAGTAAGTAAAGTCCCGCCCCTCTGGATGCAAGGTACGCCACACATCCATGAGCTGCAATTGGTGGAGTGCTGACTTGAGCCTCCGAAGGCAAGAGAAGGAAAGATGAGAGGTACCCCTGGAGGTGTCCACTGTGGGATCCATGGCCATGTTAAAATCTCTGCCTAAGATCAAAGTCCCCTCCTGGATGGCTTCCAGGCGAGGAAGAAAAGATTGCAAAAACTGCAACTGGTCAGTGTTAGGTAGATACACATTAGCCAACGTCACCATGTTTTCACCCACCCGTCCCTTAACCACCAGAAACCGACCCAGCTCATCAACCAACTGATCAACCCCTGTCCAAGCCACCGATTTGGAGAGCAGTATACTCACTCCTTTGGACCTGGAGAGCGGTGATGCTGCATGGTACACCATGGGGAAATCCCGATTGAACAATTTTGGGACCGCATCTACTTTGAAATGTGTTTCCTGTATAAAAGCCACCTGGGCTCCGGCTCGGCGCAGGTCAGAAAGCAGCCTCGATCTTTTTTCGGGAATGTTCAGCCCCCTGGCATTCAGGGAGTAGAACAAGAGAGGGGCCATAGTATTCCACTGCCCTGTAGAGGGCACAAGGGGAGGCAGAATGGGAGAGGAAGATAGAGAGAATGGATGGAGCAGGGGTAGTGGGGAGGTAAACAGACAAGGCAAAGCAAGAAAAGAGGATGCAGACAATCTAGAGTAGAGAAAGTAGAACAGAAGAAGCTGACACTGACTGCAGGTCAGCTAAAACCTTATTGTGAGTCACGCCCACCCCTGTACAGATAGGGTGTGAGCGTGCAACCTATGGGGGTGAAGTTATCACCAAACAGTGGTCAAAACAATAGCAATGCAGGAGATGCATCAGAACGGCACCTCAACCTAGCATATTAAATATGAACACATTAGCATAGTATGAGCACCCCAGAAACATGTCTCTCCCCTCCCGGGCAGGAGGTCAGAGGACCCACGGTGGGATGGAGTGCCGCCCCACAGCGACCTTAACAGGGCTCCGCTGCTGACAGCCCTCCCTCCCCCCATGAGCAATCCGCCACCCCATGTCTAGCCGTGACATGGGGGAATGCATACAAAACCTGAGGCATCAGTGTACCCTCCTGCAGGCTGGATCATCAAGCCTCACTCCTGGCATGGGACGGGCTAGGTACAGGCCCCCTGGTGGCTCGATTGCGGGATCTCCCCCTTCTGGACGCGCCCATTGGGAAGCTGGCCGAGGGTGGGCGGTCGTCTGAGAAGTCGAGCCAATTCGATATCGGTATTTCCTCTGTATCCAGAAAGGCAAACAGATCTGGCAGCTGTAAAGGACGATGTAGAGTGAAGGATGAGTCGCCCTTTCGCACAATGAGATGGAATGGGTGGCCCCATCTGTAGGAAGCATCTACAGAGCGGATGATTTCCAATAAAGGCCGCAAGGCTCTGCGCATACGTAGGGTGTGCCTAGAGAGGTCCGGCATAATTTGGATCTGAGCTCCATCAAAATCCAGTGGCCCCTTATGCCAAGCGCGCTGCAAAATCTCATCTTTGATTGAGTAAAAGTGCACTCTACACAGCACATCCCTGGGTTGAAGATTGGTCTGAGTCGTAGCACGGGCACCCATGACACGATGCACACGATCCAATTCCATCTCGGATGTTGGGGGCTTATCCAGATATTGATTGAGGATGGCCAAGACTGTGGTGCGAAGATCCCGGCCCATTGTGGCTTCAGGGATGCTCCGCAGGCGTAGGTTGTTCCGCCTATTGCTGTTCTCATCATCATCCAGGCGGAGGAAAGCTGCTGTAATTTGTGTGCCCATGTCTGAGTGTGCTGTCTCCAGGGCTGCCACCCGCTGTGTGAGTGAAGCAGTAGAGTCCTCCACTATAGCCACCCTGCCATCTAGGGCCGTCACTCTGTGTCCGATGTCTTGGACCTCTTGCCGGAGGGCTGCCACTATCCGTGCAGCCATGTCCTCCAGGTCCCCCTTAGTAGTGAGGCGCGGGAGAATATCCCTCCAGTCTCCCCCTTCACCTACCTCAATCCCTGGGCGGGCACCCGTTTCGGGCAGGGAGAGTTCCGGTGAGGGGATCGGCGACCGGGCTGACCCGTCACATCCACGGGCGGCGCCGTCACTTTACTCGGGGTCTTGGATGGAGTGGGGCCTGCGGCCATGGAGCGGGTAGC